TCTCTCTCTCTTCTTCCCTCTCTCCCTCTCGCTCTATCTAAAGATAAATGCAAAATGTCCTCCAGTGTAGATTTAAAAAAAATTAATAAAAACATATTTAAAAAAAAAAAAAAAAAGAAAGAAACAGAAGAGAAGACACACACAGGAAGAAGGACATGTAAAGACAGAGGCAGAGATTGGGGTGATGTGGACACAAGCCAAGGATACCTGGAGCTCCAGAAGTTGGAAGAGGCAGGAAGAATCCTCTTCTAGAACTTCCAGAGGGAGTGCAGCAGTTGACACCTTGATTTTAGACTCTGGCCTCTAGACCTGCAAGAGAAGAAATTCCCTTTGTCTAAGTCATCTGGTTTGTAGTACAGTAAAACCTCAATATAATGGACTAATTCAGGTGAGAGGGTGTCTGTTAAAGCCAAAAGTCTGTTATATAATAAAGTAGGTTTTCTGAATGCCTATGTTAAAAAATTGACAAATTAGTTTGCCTGTGTGTTGTTGTTTTTTTTACAATCCTCGCCCGAGGATATTTTTCTATTTATCTTCAGATAGAGTGGGAGGGAGGGGGAGAGAGGTGAAAAGAAAGAGAGAGATATTGATGTGAGAGGGACACATTGGCTGGCTGCCTCCCACACCAGGGACAGGGACTAACCACAACCGAGACACGTGCCCTTGACCAGAATTAAACCTGAGGCTCATTGGTCCACGGTCTGACGCTCTAACCGCTGAGCAAAACTGGCCAGGGCTTAGTTTGCCAGCTTTCACTTATGTAGACACGTTTGTGTAATTATAATTAAGTGTATATGAAAAGTTTAATTTTACAGAAAAGTTTTCTATATATATTACTGTAATTTTAAGTTTATACTAAATAGGTCTAGTAAATGGGTGCATTCACCAGTCACCTCGAGTAACAAATGCACATAGCTGGGGTGTGGCTTAGTGCACGTGGGAACATCGGCAGGCTTATGTTAAAACTGCAGAAAGTCAGGCCATGGGATGACAGAACCAATTACCACCAGGGTGCAATGTGGTGTGATCGCGTGCTGATCATTCACCAAACATTGTTTACAAGTGGTTACTCTTGGATTTAAATATGTAGACTATAGTTGTAGATATATCTGCAAAATTACTAGTGGTTGTTTTGATTTTTAGAAAGAGTGGAAGGGATGAGAGGAGAGAGAGAAACATCAATGTGAGAGACACGTTGACAGGGTGCTGGGGATCCACCTGCAACTCAAGTACATGCCCTTGACCCAGAATCAAATCCAAAACCCTTTGGTGTCGGGCTGATGTTCTAACCACTGAACCACGTGGGCCAGAGCAGGGCTATTTTAAAAATTTTTAAAGTTTTTCTTTTTTGATTTTTATAGAGAGAGGAAGGGAGAGGGAGAAGGAGAGGGGGAGGGGGAGGGAGAGGGAGAGGGAGGGAGAGAGAGAGAGAGAGAATTATGGATGAGAAAGAACTTCGATTTGCCACCTCCTGCACGCCCCCATTGGGGATTGGGCCCACAACCTGAGCATGTGCCCTGACCGGGAATCGAACCGGGGACCTCTTGGTGCATGGGTTGACGCTCAACCACACCAGCTGGGCAGGGTTGTTTCTTAATTGCTCATTTGGAATCCCTGGGTGAGATTTTGTGAAAATAGGGGAAAACCTCAGTAAAATCAAGTAGGGAGGCCAGAAGGGGGCGCTCTCACACAGTATCTCTCCATGTCAGTTGCAGGCAGTATTGTCAATTACAAACCCTCAGAAAAAGATGTACAATCAAGCTACCCCAATAACCCAGCTGATGAAAAACTGCCATCTCTCTGCACTCTCCATGTTCTCCAATGGACTTTCTCTTAAAACAACCCTTCTTAACTTCCTCCTTTTTCTCCATAAAATAACGTTCCTCTCCTTCGTGAGACTTTACTATGGCTTTTGTTAAAGCTTGCTTGTACCGAACTGAAATTCTTTGTTGTTCCCTATTTTTACTGATGAAATAGCTGTTTTATTGTTAAGGTCAACATGTGTTTTGGAGTTGGGAATTTTTTCTATCTTAAGAAGGTAACTGAGGATGAAAGCTGCTGTGTTGCATGATGTCACTGGGGTGTGGGGTAGCCCTTATGTAGAGGGATAAATAAAGGATAAACAAGAATAAAAGAGGATAATTGATCACTGAAAACACTTTGGATCACCGCTGGAGTTCTGACAGCACCTTACAAAAAAGTTGGGCCCATCAGGTGTGGCTCACTGGTTGAGTATCGACCCATGCACCAAGAGGTTGCCTGTTGGATTCCTGGTCAGGGCACATGCCCAGGTTGTAGGCCTGATCCCCAGTGGGGGGGTGCAGAAGGTGGCCAGTTGATGTTCTCTCTCATTGATGTTTCTGTCTCTCTCTCCCTCCCCCTCTCTCTAAAATCAGTAAAGAAAGAAAGAAAGAAAAGAAAAAGTTGGGCTTGGCCGGTGTGACTCAGTGGTTGAGCATTGATCCATGCACCAAGAGGTTGCTGGTTCAATTCCTGGTCGGGGCACATGCCCAGGTTGTGGGTCAAATCCCCAGGGGGTCATGCAGGAGGCAGCCAATGTTCTTTCTCATCGATGATTCTATCTCTCTCTCCCTCTCCCTTCCTCTCTCTCTAAAATCAATAAAGAAAAAAAATTTAAAAAAAGAAAAAAAAAAGAAAAGTTGGGCTTCCAGAGCCTTTTGGATTTCAGGATTGGAACTGAAGACTCATAAGAGTATCTCCAGGCCCCGGTTTGGCTCAGCGGTTAGAGCGTCGGCCCGCGGTCCAGAGAGACCTGAGTTCGGTTCCCGCTAAGGGTACGTACCTTGGTTGCAGTTTGTCCCCGGACTGGTTGGGGTCCTGTGGGTGGCAACCAGTCGATGTGTCTCTCTCACATTGATGTTTCTCTCTCTCTCCCTCTTGCTCTATCTGAAGATGAATGCAAAAATGTCCTCAGGTGAGGATTTAAAAAAAAAAAGAGTATCTCCAGGGGCTGTGGGTAGAGTTGGGACTATTCAGTTTTGGCTCAGTGAACTTGGTGAAATAAGAGGAGAAAGAGGAAGAGGGGAAGCAGGTGGGAGGGAGAGAGGGAGGGAGAGAGAGAGAGAGAGAGAGAGAGAGAGAGAGAGAAGAGGAGGTATAGAAGGAGGTAGAAGGGGAAGAAGTGGGTGAAGGAAGGGAAGTAGGGAAAGGAGCAAAAAGGGAAGCGGAGGAAAGGGGGGAGGGAGGAAGAAATAAGAAGATGGGGAGGAGGATGAAAGAGGAGGCAGGGAGGAAGGGGTAAGAGGGAAATCAGGTCAAGAAGGAGGAAGGGGTAGAGAAGTTTAGGGAAGAAAGAAAGAGGAGGAGGAGGGAGGGCAAGCTCTGTGCCCACATTTGTGAATGAATGAATCTCAACTTTGAGCTGGTGTGACAGCTTCAGAGCTCAGTTTTTTACCTGTAAATGTGGGTAATCACAATAGTGCTACCTGGCAGTTCATTGCTGACTCCACTGACCCCTGCTCAAAAAAGTAGTGGGCCAGTGGCTGGCTCAGGGCCTGTCCTCTCTATCTGTCTCCTGGGGCCCATTCCACCCACCCTGGAAGGCCCAAAGGAACCAATGACAGCATGGGGGGTGGGTGGGTGAGCGCCTGCCAAGCCTTGTCCTCCAAATGGCTCTGGAAGCAGGCCCAGGCCGCCTTCCAAGGATTGCACTGGGAAGGTCTGCCAAGCAGGGAAGAAAACAAGCAGGGGCGTGGTGGGCAGGAGGGCAGAGGAGGGGGAGCTTGGAGAGAAGGATAGGGCAGAGGCGCTCATGGGTACAGCTCAGGAAAGCAGGATCCAGGAGTCTGCAAAAACAGAGGCTCTTCAGAGGGTCCACCAACTGGGACTAGGTTTGGGGTTTTCACTCTTGGACTAGTTTCTGCCTGCCTCCTGCCTGAGCTTCTAGGAGCCCACGAGGGAGCAGCCAGGACTGAGGCTCTGTGAGCAGCTCCAGGTCAGCCAGGAAACAGGGTGGTGGGCAGCCAGGCTGGCACCGGCTCCACCTGATCAGGATGGTGCTTTGTGGCTTCTGGGTTAGCATTTATGACCTTGGGGTGCCAATAAAGGACTCCTGTAGGAGGATGGGGATCTGGTATGTGGATTTTGTTCTCCCTGGGCTCCTGGGGTGTTACATTGAGATTTACCTGACAAGATTTTGGGATATAGATTTGGGATTAGCTGGATCCTTGTAATATATCTTTCAGACTAGGGTGGGGTTTGGATTTAGAAACTTCTAGGGCCCTAGGCTGTGAGTTTAGGACTCCCAAGGTCCCTGGAATGTGTGTTTTAAGATCGAAGAGGCGTTGGGACTTGTATTTGAAACAAGCTGGGGCAAGAGTTCAGTACAGGCAGGCCCCAAGTGAACTGGGATTTCCCAGGTCCGCCGGGTAGCAACCTTGGATAACTTCAAGGGGAGGCCACGAACGCCGGGAGGCCACGCCCCTCAGCTGCGGGACGCACGTGTTTGCTAAACGCACGGCGTGGGGCTGACGAAGTTTAGTTGTCATGGAGACAACGGCCGTCTTCGCTGGGCCGGTCTAACTCTAGGGTCTCGTTAGCCGTCGCTTCTCTGGCCCAGGCGCCCTCTTACGGTTGTGGCCTCCGGGAGGGGGGCAGGTCTGGGTTCTGAGGCTAGGGAGCTCCTAGCCAGACAGGTGGAGCGGGGCCTAGGGCGCTATATATAGGTGGACTGGAGTGAGTCCCCGAGGGTGGTGACAAGGCCTAAGACTGGGGAGGGGGCCGGTAGCCAGGGATGGAACCTGGGGCTGGAATGCGGACCAGGTCCGTGGCTGGGGGCGGTGTCTTGTTCCGAGTGGGCGGTGCTTGTGCTTTTGGGCGGGGCCAGAGGCCAAACGTGAAGGCGTGGCCCAATGAGTGGCGGAGTGGTACAGGCGGGACCTTCGGGAAACCAAGACTTGTTGCTGGACAGGTTTGGGAACAAGAAGTGGGGGTGAATCCTGGGACCGAGCGCAGCAGCTAGGTCATGGCGTGGGGGCGGGGCCTGGTCGAATAACTGGGAAGGATTTGGGTTTATGGTGTGGACAAGTGGAGCCCAGGTCTTGGGGCTAAGGTGTGAGAGGGTCTGGACACCCATAGCTAGGTCAAAGCATTGGGCGGGGCTTGACAGTGACTGACAGGGTGGAAGAGCTGTGTGTGGGGCGTGACCTGTACTGTGTACTAATAATTGGCAGAGAGGTGTGGGCTGGGCTAGGAGCAAGGAGGCCTGTGCCCAACATGGGAGAGGACGGAATCCTGGCCCGGGGGGGCGGAGTTTGGCCCGGACGTAGCTAATCCCAGACCTGGGGCAGGGTCTGGTTCGGAGCAGGTGGGCCTGAGGAAGGGGCGGGGCCCGGCTCGACTCTGGCGGCCTGGGCTCGCCCTTGGGCCGCAAGGCTGGAGCTTGGGGGCGGGGTTTGCCTCGTCGTGGGGCGGGCCCCGAGCGGCCAGCAGCCTCAGCGCTCTGTGCCTCCCCAGGATGCGGGCTCCTGGTGCGGGCTCGGCCTCCGTGGCTTCGCTGGTACTGCTGTGGCTGCTGGGGCTGTCGTGGACCTGGAGCGGAGTGGCGGCCCTCTGCGTGTACGTGGGCGGCGGCGGCTGGCGTTTCCTGCGCATCGTCTACAAGACCGCGAGGCGGGATCTGTTGTGAGTGCAACCTCGGCCTGGTCCCCTGCTGTGCACCCTGTGGGCAAACAGAAGAGAGCTGCAGGGGCTGATGTGGGGGGCCCTGAGGGCGTAGTGGGCATGGTTTAGGCACTGGAGGCGGGGCATGGTGAGGGCGGTGCTCGGGTGAGGGCTGGGCCAGGGGCTGGGGTAGGGGCTGGGCCGGAGCCTATCTGAAAAAGTGATGGGTTGGGGAATTAAGGGACTTGCAGGGGGCGGCTTGGGGGTCCCCAGAGGGACATGAGTAGGTTTCAAGTTTCTTGAGGCCACGTGGGAGACCTCAAGGGGGTATGAGCGCAGCTTGGGGGGGGGCGGTCTGTGGGCAGCCGGTAGGAGTTCCAGAGAAATGGAGCTGATTGTGAGGCTGTCGGTGTTTGGGAGTCTCTGTGGGGCTAAGGGCTCTTCAGGGGCTCACAGGGGCGACTCGGTGGTCTCTGGGGGCTGCCCAGACTGACTAGACACTTTGGGTCTATTAGGGCTTTTGGGGGAGGAATGAAAGGGCTTCTTGGGGCATCCGTAAAGGACTTTTAAGATCTTTGAAGGGTGTATGCCTCCTTTGGGCCATTGATAGCTTTCTCCGTGACCAGGTGCTCTTTGAGAGTTTGGGGTCTGTGTGGGACTTTGGGAGTTGTTTAGGGTCTGTGGAGATGTTGTGTATTCCAAGGCTTATTTGGTGGTCTCTGGAGACAGGGATCTCTGGGAAGGGGATTCTGATGTCATGTGCAGGCATCCTTGGAAGGTCTCTAGGGTGTCTCTGAGAGGTTTGCTCAAACAAACTGTTGGAGTCTTCTTAGGGTGAAATAGGTATTGCTGGAGGTTCCCATCAGAGCAGCTCTCAGCAGCAGCCCCCATGTTGAAGGAGTATGTGAGCACCTGCTATGACTCTGTCAGACTTGACGCCTTCACAAGTACCATCTCCTTTCAGGGACTTGGGGAGACCAGATAGAGCCTGTGGGTCCCACACACAGGAGCATAGCTGGCAGGCTATCCCTACCTTCTTGGGCTTGTCAAGGCCCCAGCTCTACCCCATGGAGCTGGGGGTATCCGTATCTGGTATCCTGTCTTCCCTGGGGACAGAGCAGGACCCGGGTCCACTCTGAGTCCCTAACACAGGGCTTGATACATTTTTCTGTAGGCGACAGCCTTGCAGATGGCTCCACCTCCTGGTCTTTTTTTTTTATCCTCACCCGAGGACATTTTTCCATTTTTTGTTCAGATAGAGTGGGAGGAAGAGAGAGAGAGAAATATCCACATGAAAGGGACACATGGAGTGGCTGCCTCCAGCACGACCCAACCAGGGCTGGGGACAAACTGCAACCGAGGTACGTGCCCTTAGCGGGAACCAAACCCAGGTCTCTAGACCGCAGGCTGAAGCTCTAACTGCTGAGCCAAATGGCCAGGGCCCACCTCCTGGTCTTTATGCTCTTATCTGTTTCCCTCCCTTTGAGTGGGCTGGACTTAGTGATTCACTTCTAATGAATGGAACACAAGTGAAGTGATAGGATATTAATTCTGAAATTAGATAATGAAAAAGACTGTGGTTCCAGTCTTGTGTGCCCTCTCTTGGGTCGTTGCCTCTGGGAGAAGCTGGCTGCCATATATGAGGCATCTCTTTGGAGAGACCCACATAAATGAACTTGGAAGTGAATTTTCTCCCAGTAAAACCTTGGGATGAGCACAGCCCCAGCTGACACCTTGATTAATGTGTCACAAGAGACCCCAAGCCAAATGACCCTGCTAAACCACTCCTGGATTCCTGAGCACAGGAACTGTGAGATAATAAATGTTTGTTGTTTCCATTGGTAATTTTGGGGATAATTTGTTATGCAGCAGTAACTAATGCAACTTGCTAGCCATCTCCATGCATCAGGCCTTGTTCTAATGCTCTCTATTAGCCCTGTAAGGAAGAAATGGTCATGAGTTCCATTTTACAGTTTGGGTCAACCAAGGCACAGAGAAGTGAGTACATTTGCCCAGGAACACACAGCCAGGGATGGGCAGGGCTTCTGAGTCCATGTTCTTAGCTGCTATGCTGTGCTGGGGTGGTGGGGAGAGCTGCATTTAGATCCTGGGTTCAGAAAATATTTAAGCACCCTGTCCCAGTTTTCCAAACTTGTCTTATCACTGTGGCATGAAATCTGAACACATTTAACCTTGTTGGTTTCTTCCTGCCCCCAGTAAAAACAGGAGGCGGCACAAGGAGCAGAGGGATGAGAAGAGGCCTTGGGAAGGACCCAGAGGCGGAGAGTGGCCTCTTTGTCCCCAGGGTGGGGATGGCTTGGGCTGCTGCCCAGGCATGTGGCCGGAGCTGAGCACTGGCGTCCACTGCTTGCCTATGGGTATGCTTCAGAGAGCCTGGGTCTAGGGCAGGATGGACTGGTGACAGGCCAAGAGGATTGGGACTGTACCTTGAGTGCTTAATGAACCCGAGTGTGACCAGCTGCAGCCTCAGTTCCTATTTCTTGCTGTGTCATTTGTGGATGGGGAGCCCCCATACAGGGGCTGCTTCCTGTGGTTCCCATCCTCGCTGATGACCCTCTCCTCGTGGCTGTTTCATTAGTAGCCCCTCATGGAGTTCTTCAGATGTTCTATCAGAGAAGCTCTAAGAGGAGAGCTGTGCACACAGTAGGTGCTCATGTGTTGCTGCTGATTGCCATCAGCTGGCAGTGGGTACCTTGGGAGCTATGTAAGCTGGTGTTTAGTAGCTTGGTGGCCAGAGTCAGCGTGTTTGCCTGGACCTTGGCTCTGCCCCCTGCTGGCTTTTGGACTGTCGCCCTTTGAGTCCCAGTTCCTTCACCTCCAAGAATAGTCTTTGTACAATACCTCTCCTTCAAGAAGCATGAATTGAGCACCTGCTTTGTGCATCATGGGCACTTGGCCTGCCTTGTGGCCAGCCTAAGGAGTCGCTTAGGGACCTTGCCAGGGGTCCTGGTTCTTGGTTATTCGGTCCGCGACTCTCTGTGACCTTGGGTGTGTTAATTTACCTTTCTGAGCTTCAGCTCATTCATCACCTGACAAATGGGGATCTTAGGACCCTACTTTGGAAGGTGGCCATAAAGTTAGCACAGTGTTCATCATATAGTAGTTGCTCAGTAAATGCAGAGGCTGTTCTTCGTAGCTACTCTATTTATTACTTGAATGGATGAGCCATGAGGATCTGACCAGGGAGATGTATAAACAGCTAACTTTTAATATTTTGCATCCTTAATTATTTTTTGTAATAGTTAATGCATAACATGTGGTACAAAATTAGAATGTTCTAGAGGGGTATGCAGTGAAAGTTTCCCTCTCTGCGTTGCCCCCAGCCCTGCAGTTCCCCTCGTCAATATCTCTTTTCCAAGATATGGTTATAGAAATCTATGCAGACCTTGTCTGTTCTCCTTGCCCACAAATACACACATTCTCCATCCTTTTCCTCACTTGGTGCTCTTTCTTCTTTCCACTTTCATTTGTAATTTTTACTTTTATTTAAGTCATACAAGCTTTGGGATGAAAGACACTAACTAAGCCTGATACCTCAAGTGGCAGCTGCCTGCCTCACCATCCATCCGCATTTTCCCTTCTTTACCCAGAGTGACTCTCACCTCTTGTGTAAATCTGACCAAGTCTGGCCCCATTTGGGATAATCTCTGCTGTAGTGGGGGAGCAGTGGGCACAGTGCAAGGGCTGACCCTTGGAAGGTTTCCTGCTGGGAGGAGTCCAATGAATGGGTGGGCATTTGGGCCTGTGCATATCTCATTGTGCTGGCAGGTAGCATGTGTGTGGATGCTGGGATTCAGCTAGGTCACAAAGACCACATAACCCTGGTCCCTTCCCAGGAGCAGTTGGAGGGGCTTCTAGAAGCTCCCAAGGTAAGCAGTGTGACCCAAGTAGGAAGTCTCATAAATGTCATCAGAACTCTGAACCCTTGTTTTTGAAAACTGCAGATGCTGCCCTGGCTGGTTTGACTCAGTGGTTAGAGCATCAGCCTGTGGACCAATGAGAGTGGATGGGTTCTATTCCGGTCAAGGGCATGTACCTTGGTTGTGGTTCGAACCTGGTCCTGGTCGGGGTCATGCAGGAGGCAACTGGTCTATGTGTCTCTCTCACATCAATGTTTCTCTCTTTGTCCCTCTCTTTTTCTCTTCTTCCCTCCCACTCTAAAATATCCTGAGATGAGGATTTAAAAAAAAACACTAAAACCTGCAGATGCCTGCAGGCCTGTACATTCTCTCCTCTAACAGACTTGTGTGCCCACCAAGTATCTCATCTCCCTCCATCTTCCTCTTGCCTCTGCTGTGGTTCTCAATTGTGCCTCATTCGCCAGGCCCATTACTACCTCAGGGCCTTTGTACCAGCTGTGCCCCAGCTTTACCCATGGCCTTTTCTTTTCACCTTGCCAGGCCCTGCTCAGAAGTCACTTACCTACCTCCCTTCAGGGCCATTCCCACCCCTGTTCTGGTCCACATCACTCTGGCTGCATCACGCATCAGATCCTTGTCACCAGCCAGCGATTCCCTCATGCTTGTTCATGTATGAGGAGGGGATCTCTCCTGGAAATACTGTGAGCCCCTGAGGATTGGATATGCTTGTGTCTGAGCCAGAAACAGTTCCTAGCACATAATAGGTGCTGGTACAAATCAGCTGCCTGCTAAGTGAAGGAGGGAGGGAATGAATAAATGAGTGAATGAATGAGTGAATAATGAATGTCAGTGCTGAAGTCTACTGTGAACGCGTTGAGTACAGAGATGTAAGGAAGCCATTACAGGAATCAAGGAGGCATGGGGGAGGCAGCAGGGGTGCAAAGAATGGATTTGATAAGGAATTTGATGATATACAGGTAGGACATGATGGCCAGATGAAGCCTAGTTGAGACTATGCCTGTGTTGGGCAGGGCAGAGCAAGCTGCTATAACAAACAGGCCCCTGTTGTCAGTGGCTTAGCAAGTTCAAGGTTACCTCTCAGATCCAGAGACTCTGGGTGACAGAGCAGGGAGCCACATAAAACCAGGGGAACCACTCATTTCTCTAGCCACCACACCAAGAAATTCTAGATTTTCTAGATTTCTTGGTTCTGTGATCGAAAGCGATTTTTGTTTACTTAACACAAAAAAGTTCATTTCTTCCTCATCTGACAGCCTGGTATCCTTGGTGGCTGCTTACTTCCACATGTTTATTCAGGGCCCTGGCTACTTCTGTTCAAGGTCCTGCTGTCCCCTGGGGTGTCTGATCCCCTCATATCCACTAACAGGTTGGGAAGGGGAAGTGAAACACCTGCTTCAAAAGCTCATTGAGTTGTATGCCCCCTATCTTGCCAACAGGTCTCTTGGCTTCAGCTGGGAGAAACTGCCCTTCCCCTGGCCATCTGTGCCTAGTGCCATCAAATGACTTGGGGGTGGAGCACTTGTCCAGCTCATGGCTGGACCCTGGGGTCTGGTTGGGGCAGGTGGAGCATGAGGAGTCCAGCTTGGTGTACTTGGGACATCCCAGGGAGAGAAACAAAGACAGGACTAGGCCTCAGCTCCCTCAGGGTCATGGAGAAAGCTGAGTGGAGGAAGACAGGGTGACTTTGGTCTGGCCACCTTAGAGTATTCGCTTCTTTCTGGGCTGGTTGGTTGCTGGACCTTAGTCCCCGAGAGACCCACCAACCAAAGGGTCCTCCTTGAACCCTTGCCGATCTTGGGGGTACAGGGGTCTTTTCTTCCACTTTCTCCAGATATGAACACTGAGGCTTGGGGTGGTCTCCTGGGGGCCTGGTCAGGTACCCAGTAATGCCGCCCTCTCTTTTCCTCTCCCAGTGGCCTCTCTGTGCTGATCCGAGTGCGCCTGGAGCTGTGGCGGCACCAGCGAGCCCGCCACACTATCCCAGGGATTTTCCAGGCAGTGGCACGGCAGCAGCCTGACCGGCTGGCCCTGGTGGATGCAGGCAGCGGCGTGCACTGGACCTTCGCGCAGCTGGACGCCTACTCTAATGCTGTAGCCAATGTCTTCCACCACCTGGGCCTTGTGCCAGGTGATGTGGTAGCTATCTTTATGGAGGGCCGGCCAGAGTTTGTGGGGCTTTGGCTGGGCCTGGCCAAAGTGGGCGTGGAGGCTGCTCTGCTAAATGTCAACCTGCGGCGTGAGCCCCTTGTCTTCTGCCTGGGCACTTCGGGTGCCAAGGCCCTCATCTTCGGAGGGGAATTGGCAACGGGTGAGGCTGGGTGCGGGCAGGGAATTGTTGTGGGCAGGGGCCTGATGTTACCCAGGGCAGGGAGACAGTGCATCCCAGACCTTCGGAGGGGCCTGCCTGTCCTTGACTATGACATGTCTATTTTGAGCTTCAGTGGTGGCTGAGGTGAGTGGACAGCTGGGGAAGAGTCTGCTCAAGTTCTGCTCTGGAGACTTGGGTCCTGAGGGCCTATGGCCAGACATCCAGCTCCTAGACCCGCTGCTGAAGGAGGCATCCACGGCCCCCCTGGCCCAGTCCCCTAGCAAGGGCATGGATGGTGAGTCCAGGTTGGGGCCTCTTTCCCCTACCAGTGCCCACTCTGTGCCCTCATCCTACCTGACCAGCACCTGGTTCCCAATAACCTCATCTCCTGCAGATCGACTCTTCTACATCTACACCTCAGGGACCACGGGGCTACCCAAGGCTGCCATTGTCGTGCACAGTAGGTGAGGGTCCATGTCTCCAGCCTGGTGGATGACTCCAGTCATCTCTACAGCCTGATCCCCCAACCCCAGCTCCTGTTGGGGTCTGTGGGTATCTTGATCCCAAACCCTTAAAATCCACTGCCTATCTGAGGATCTAGTAGTACTGCCCTGTCCTGGTGCTCTGGGGCTTCTCGTTGCTCCACCTCTTCCCCACATCCAGCCCATCAGCAGGGCCTGTCCCCTCAATTTGTCTACTTTTTCCCACACACTCCCACTCCACCTGGACCTGTCCCAGTCCCTCTTTGGCCTCCTGCTGCCCTTACTCCTGCCTCTGAAGGCTCTGCTCCCCTCAGTGGCCACAGGAGGGATTAAAATCCTAATTCAGACCACCCCTGTACCTGCCTTGGCCTTCAGAGTAAAACTTCATTCATGTTGTGTAGCCCTGCCACGTCTCTGTTTTCTTTCTTTCCATCCCTTGCTCACTGTCTTCTCGGCCCCTCACATTTCCTCAATCTGGTCAGGCCCCTCTGGCCTCAGGGACTTTACAGGTGCTATGTTCACTGCCTGGTTGCCCTTCCCTAGCTCGCCCCCTCATCTCCTTGCTAGGCCTCAGCTAATGTGTCACCTCTCCAGACAGGATCACCCACCCACCCTGGCTGTGTCACCTTCAGCCTCTCTCTGTCCCTTCGCCCTATTATATCCCTCAGGATACACAGCACCACGGACAGTTCTTTATTGGCTGCCTGTGCCTCTCCAGCCAGCCTGTAAGCACCCTGGGAACTGGGCTGGCTCTACCTGAGTACCTGCTGTGTCCCCAGTTCCCAGCACACTCCCCCCATTCCCATACCCTGGGGGATGTAGGTCCTAGCTCCTGCACTCCCTGCCCAGGTACTACCGCATCGCAGCCTTTGGCCACTATGCCTACAGCATGCGGGCATCAGACGTGCTCTATGACTGCCTGCCCCTGTATCACTCTGCAGGTACCGTGGGGTGCTTCAAGCGGGGGCAGGGTGGGGGTAGGGCACGAGACTGAGAACCCCTCACCAAGCTTGCCTTCTGCAGGGAACATCATGGGTGTGGGACAGTGTCTCATCTACGGGATGACCGTTGTCCTCCGCAAGAAGTTCTCAGCTAGCCGCTTCTGGGATGACTGCGTCCAGTACAACTGCACGGTCAGGCCCGGCCCCCTCCCGTGGATCCTCCAATGTAGCATGGCCCACTTTCCCACCTCCTTTCCAGGGCTTCTGGATGGGGACAGAGGGCTGACCAGTGTTTCTTGAGCATATGCTCTATATCCAGTCCAGGGCTAAACTTTCCACATGTAAACTCATCGGATCCTTATTACCCCTTGGGAGTGGGCAAAGGCATCACACTCATTTTGCAGATGGGGAAACTGAGGCTTGTAATGCAACTGCAGTTGGGCCCAGGTTGTCTGAACTCCCTAAGGTTCCACCTCCCTGTGCCCTGTCCCCCCTTCCTTCCCTGGTATTTCTTGCAGGTGGCTACATGGAAATGAGACCAGTGGGTACAGTCACCACCCTGGGCTGTTTAAGGCTACAAGGTGTGGGGGCTTCCAAGTGGGGTGAGCATGAGGCAGAGGTCGAGGGCATCTGCTGTTCGGTTCAGCAGAAGGGGCTAAACACATCTCTTCCTCTTCTTTCCCCTCCTCACTTGAGGATTTCAGCACTGTGATGGGGGTGGAAATACAGGTACTAGCCCCTTTGTTCAAGAAGAAAGAGGGGGAGGTGGGGAGAGAATGGGACTGGCAAATTGGCAGGTGCTACCCCACCATGGACAAGTAGGGCCCAGAGCGGTTCAGCCACTTTCCCAGGTCAAAAAGCTGGCTAGGGTGGGGGCTCTGGGCAGGGCATCCTGGGACCCCTTGGGGCAATGACTGTGCTCTTCTCTGCTTTTGAGGATTTACATTCTGCTTGTGGGGAGGTCTTGGGGAAAATTGCTAATCTGCATTTTGAAATGTAGACAGTCTAGATTTTAAACTTAATTATTGAGAGTTGCAAATGCATATAAATATGACGGACAGGAAAGTATAGGGGATTCCAGAGCACCTGTCACTGGCTCCAGGGGCCATCAACCACTGCTACCCAAATCCCTCCTTCTGTGAAGCCACCCAGAGAGCAGCATGCTTTCTGCGTAGATGTTTCAGTAAAACCTCTGAAAAATTACTGTTTTTTGTTTGTTTGTTTGTTTTTTATCCTCACCTGAGGACATTTTTCATTTTTTGTTCAGATAGAGTGGGAGGGAGAGAGAGGAAGAGAGAGAGAGAGAGAGAGAAACATCAACGTGAAAGGGACACATTGAGTGGCTGCCATCTGCATGACCCAACCAGGACCAGGGACAAACTGCAACCAAGATATGTGCCCTTGCCCTGGCCAGTTTGGCTCAGTGGTTAGAGCGTCAGCCTGCGGTCCGGAGAGACCCGGGTTCGGTTCCCGCTAAGGGCACGTACTTCGGTTGCAGTTTGTCCCCGGCCCTGGTTGGTCGTGCGGGTGGCAGCCACTCGATGTGTCCTTTCACATTGATGTTTCTCACTCTCTCTCCCTTCCTCTCTCTCCCTCCCACTCTATCTGTACAAAAAATGGAAAAAATATCCTTGGGTGAGGTTAAAAAAAAAGAAAAGATATGTGCCCTTAGTGGGAACTGAACCCAGGTCTCTCTGGACCCCAGGCCGACGCTCTAACCGCTGAGCCAAACCGGCCAGGGCGATGACTGGTTTTTTAAATTGAGGTGAAATTCACATAACATAAAATTAGCCATTTTAAAGTGAACAATTCATTGTCTAGTATATTCACAATGTTGTGCAGCCATCACTTCTGTCTAGTTCCAGAACATTTCCATCACCTCAAAAGGAAAATCTATCCCCATTAGCAGTCACTCCCCATCCCCCTCCCTTAGCCCCTAGCCATTCCTGTAAATGGAATCATATACTACGTGGCTGTTTGTGCCTGGTGAGAACTGTTTTTATTTTTCATAATTTAATCCTTTGAAGACTTTATTTATTTTAAAAATTTTATTTTTATTATTGAAAGTATTATAGATGGTCCCTCCTTTTTCCCCCATTTACCCCCTCCATCCTGCTCCTGCCCCACCCCCCCCCCGGCCATCACTGTACTCTTGTCTGTGTCCATGGGTTATGGCTATATGTATATAAGTTCTTTGGCTAATCTCTTCTCTTCCTTCCCCCCAAGGTTTGTCAGTCTGTTCCATGTTTCCATGTCACTGGATCTCTTGTTCATCAGTTTATTTTGTTCATTAGATTCCACATACAAGTGAAATCATGTGATACTTCTTTTTCTCTGACTGGCTTATTTCGCTTAGCATAATACTTTCTAGGCATTCCATGCTGCCTCAAAGGGTAAGAGATCTTTTTTTTTAACAGCTGTATAGTATTCCATTGTGTAAATGTACCACAGTTTTTTTGTCCACTCATCTACTGGTGGGCACTTGGGCTGTTTCCAGATCTTAGCTATTCTAAGTAGCACTGCTATGAACATAGGGGTGCATATATTCTTTCTGATTGGTGTTTCAGGATTATTAGGATATATTCGCAGAGCATGAAGACTTTTTAAAACAAAAGATTTGAAAGCAGAGTCTCAGAGAGATATCTCTGTATACCCATGTTCATAGAAGCATTATTCACAATAGTTAAAACATGGGAGCAACCCAAGTGGACATTCAGTGGATGAATGGAGAAGCAGATGTAGTCCATCCACATAATAGAATATTATTTAGCCATAGAAAGGAAGGAAATTCTGACACATGCTACAATGTAAATGAACCATGGGGACATTGTGCTAAGTGAGTAAGCCAGACACAAAGGGACAAATACTGTGTGATTCCACTTATATGAAATCCATAGAGTAGTCAGATCCATGGACACAGGATATAGAATAGTGGGTGCCGGAGGTGGGGGTTAGGGGCCTGGGAAAGGGGGATGAGGAGTTAGTATTTAATGGGACAATGTTTTAGTTTGGGAAGATGAGAAAATTCTGGAGATGGATGGTGGGATGGTTGTTCAACAGTGTAAATGTGCTTAATGCCACTGAACTGTTCACTTAAAATGGTTAAGATGTGCTTTTGTCTCTTCACACCCACTGGGGTGTGTACAATCGTTGTACAAAATCATCCTGATGCAGGGGGTCCTGGTTGATGATCAGCTCCCAGTGTCTGTCCAGGTACCCCCTGCAGGGGTGTCAATGAGCAGGTGACTTGGATGGCAGCTGGGTGGGGCTCGGTCTGTCATGATTTAGAGAGGCCGCATAGAGCATGTTCCTGCCAGTGGTCCCACCTGGGGGGCGGTGCTGTGGGCAACCTACGCTCAGCTGGCCAGGCTCTGGGGGACAGAGTAGAACACATGGGCTCCGGGCTGAAGTTGCCCTGTGGGGCATCAGTGCTGAGACTTGCCTTCCTGGCTTCCGTGCAGCACATAAGGTGTCCCCAAGAAGTGGCATGGGGGATAGAGAGACCATGGAGGGGTATAGCAGGGAACCAGATGCATCCACTTGCATAGAAGGCCAGCTCCAGGCCCCTTTTGAGGACTGAGCTGTTTCCCCATAGTCATTAACCTTAGGGCTTTTTTGTTCTAGTACCCAGTGTCGGGGTTGTCCTGGGTTGTCAGGCTTCATGGTGCGCTCCCTCTCTACCAGGTGGTCCAGTACATTGGGGAGATCTGCCGCTACCTGTTGAAGCAGCCAGTGCGCGAGGCAGAGGGGCAGCACCGGGTGCGCCTGGCTGTGGGCAATGGGCTGCGGCCTGCCATCTGGGAGGAGTTCACCCAGCGCTTCCGTGTGCGCCAGATCGGTGAGTTCTATGGAGCCACCGAGTGCAACTGCAGCATCGCCAACATGGATGGGAAGGTGAGCATGGCAGGGTGTCTGGCACGAGTCCGGGTTTGGGAACCACTGCAGCCCGGAGCACAAGGGCAGGTTAGGGAGGCTCCTGGACTGCCCCTGCACACGGGGACCCTCTTCTGGTGCGCACAGTCATATAACTGTCACCCCTGAGTTCAAGTCCTTGGAGTGGCTGTGTGCGCCAGGCAAGTGCCTCAGCTTTTATGAGCCTCAGTTTCCACTTAGGGAGGTGGCAGGGAGAGCAGGGTTCAGGGGCACCAAGGAAAGAGGTTGGGGTGCTGATCCCTTCCTGCTGGACAAGTCTCAGGCTCCTTGGGCCTCAGTATTTTATTCTATAAAAGGAGTTAACAGCTCTTGGGTGTGTTTTAGTCACAACATCCTGAGCTCAATGCAGTGCCCCCCACTGGCAGCTCTTTGCAAACAGATGCCTCCTCCCCAAGGCCAGGAACAGATGAGAATAATTAGAAAGCAAGGACCGGGGCATAAATTTTTTTTTGTCTCACTGGCTGCTGGGGCTCCAGCACCTGAACAAGGCCTGGCCCCCACCGTGCATATCTGTTGAGTGGACATCCCCAGGGGTCACTGTGGCCTCACTATCACAGGTTGCTTCTGTAAAACCTTCCTGACAGTATGTAGCAGCACAAACAAATTAGACAAGCATTTCTGCTTATAGGACTGATCTAGGCAGGTGACATGCTGTGGGCAGTAAGCAGAAGTTCTGCCAGTGCCAACACATGGCTCCAGGGTCAGTCCAGGTGCCCACTTCTAGCAGCGTAGAGGATTTTATGGACCAGGAAGTGGCAGCAGGCCAGCAGGTCTCCTGTGACTGTAAGAGAGACTGAGAAGGTGGAGGAGGAATCCTGGGGAAGTACTCTACTTAATACTTCCCTTTTTCAGATTACCCAAGGTCACAGAGCTGGGGTGGTACTGGAGGTGCTATTCCAGGCCCTGAGGCAGGAAAGGCAACGTGTTATCGGGAAGGTCACTGTTCCGCCTTGAGGCTCCTTGCCAACTCTGTTCTCCTTATCCCAGGTGGGCTCCTGTGGCTTCAACAGCCGCATCCTGCCCCATGTGTACCCCATCCGGCTGGTGAAGGTCAATGAGGACACCATGGAACTACTGCGGGATGCCCAGGGTCTCTGTATCCCATGCCAGGCTGGTGAGCAGGGCCCTCACTCAGTCCTCTGGGAGCTGGGGGTCTCTACCCTCTGCCCTCCTAGTGCAACCTGAGCATGGCCTCCTCCCCAGGGGAGCCCGGCCTCCTTGTGGGCCAGATCAATCAGCGGGACCCGTTGCGTCGCTTCGATGGCTACATCAGTGAGAGTGCCACCAGCAAGAAGATTGCCCATAGTGTCTTCTGCAAGGGTGACAGTGCCTACCTCTCAGGTGCGCACACCCTGGGGGTTGGCTGTGGAGATGGTGGCTGCCGTCTCACCTGCCCCTCCCTCCTCTGCCAGGTGATGTGCTGGTGATGGATGAACTGGGCTACATGTACTTCCGAGACCGCAGTGGGGACACCTTCCGCTGGCGTGGGGAGAACGTCTCCACCACCGAGGTGGAGGGTGTGCTGAGCCGCCTGCTGGGCCAGACAGATGTGGCCGTGTATGGGGTAGCTGTGCCAGGCAAGCTGGGCTTGTGAGGGTGGTCCTAGGGTATGACAGCTCCAAGGGAGTACAGGTGCCCTTGGGCAGTGCAAATCCTGGACAACTGCACACAACAGCCTGGTTGGCTACCATAGGAACTGGAGTCACTCCTCATGTACCTTTTGAACCTTAGTTTCCTCATCCAGAAAATGGCATCATGAAAGCAACTCTGGCTCAGGGTTGCAGGAGTGTAGCAGTAACTCAGTAAAATGTTTTCTGCTTTGGCCAGTGTTAGCCCAGGTGGAGGGGACTGGAGATCAGAGGCCAGGGGCTGCTGCTTGAGGGTGTATCTGGTCCCATGGTGGACTGGGGATGGTGTTCTCAAATGAGCCTCTGTTTCTAGGAGTAGAAGGCAAAGCAGGCATGGCGGCCATCGCAGACCCCAATGGCCAGCTGAGCCCCAATGCACTATACCAGGAGCTACAGAAGGTGCTAGCACCCTATGCCCGGCCCATCTTCCTGCGCCTCCTGCCCCAGGTGGACACCACAGGTTTGACACACTCTCCCCCCCTCCCCCCCCCCCGCCACCCCATCCCCTTATTTGTCCTGGTTCAGGCCCTCAGGTCAAGTCTGACATAATGGTTCATAGCCAGCTGGCACTATGGGCTTGTGCAGGATCCTCCTCTTGTTTTATTTACATATTTACTTCCATTCCTCATTCCCAACCCTGCTAGACATCCTGCAGTTTTCAGTGTGTCTCTTCATCTTCTACATTTTTCTGATGGAAGTTTGAGCAGTTCACCTCATACCTCTGATCTTTCTCGGATCTTTTATCCATCTTTGTATTGTCTTTTTCTCTGTACCGCAGGCCGACGCTCCAACCGCTGAGCCAAACCGGCCAGGGCTGTATTGTCTTTTTCTTTTTGATTTGTGGGGTGTTCCTCATAATGGTCTGGATGTTAATTCCTTTGCAATTTTAGACATTGTAAGTCTCTTGTCCAATTTGGGAGTCTAACTGAACTTTGTCCACTATAGCCTTTGTTGAAAAGAAACCCTTAGTTTTGTCACATACTTACCCCTTTTTTTTGTTAATCCTCACCTGGGGATATTTTTTCCATTGGTTTTTTAAAGAGAGTGGAATAGAGGGAGGGAGGGGGAGAGAGAGCGAGAGAGAGAATCATTGATGTGAGAGAGACACATTGATGGGTTGTCTCCTACTTGTGCTTCAACTGGGGCCAGGGATCAAACCTGCAACCCAGGTATGTGCCCCTGACCAGGAATTGAACCCACGACCTTAGGTGTGTGGGCCAACACTCTAACCACTGAACCATACTGGCCAGGATCATACTTATCCTTTTAAAGAATCTTACAGTTTATGCTTTTGAATTTTTGTTTCAAAAAAACAGAACTGCCCTGGCCAGTTTGGCTCAGCGGTTAGAGCGTTGGCCTGCGGTCCACAGAGGCCCGGGTTTGGTTCCTGCTAAGGGCATGTACTTCGGTTGCAGTTGGTCCCCGGCCCTGGTTGGGTTGTGCGGGTGGCAGCCACTTGATGTGTCCCTTTCACGTCAATGTTTCTCTCTCTCTCTCTTCCTCTCTCTCCCTCCCGCTCTATCTGAATAAAAAAGTGGAAAAATGTCCTTGGGTGAGGATAAAAAAAAAAACACCATAACTTCCCAACTCTAGAGCATGCAGGCATCCTCCCTTCATTACTTTTATTTTTTAAAACATTTTTAAAAATTTTATTTTCTTTATTGATTTGAGAGAGAGAGGAAGAGAAAGGGAGAGAGAGATGGAAACGTCAATGAGAGAGAACATCAATTGTGCCTCCTGCACACCCCCCACTGGGGATTGGGCACACAACCTGGGCATGTGTCCTGACCGGGAATCGAACTGGTGACCTCTTGGTGCTTGGGTCGACGCTCAACCACTGAGCCACACTGGCCAGGCCCTCCCTTACTTTTTTTTTTTTTTTTTTTTATCCTCACCCGAGGACATTTTTCCATTTTTTGTTCAGGTAGAGTGGGAGGGAGAGAGAGGAACAGAGAGAGAGAAACATCGATGTGAAGGGACACATCGAGTGGCTGCCACCCGCACGGCCGACCAGGGCCGGGGACAAACTGCAACCGAGGTACACGCCCTTAGCGGGAACCGAACCCGGGTCTCTCAGGACCGCAGGCCAACGCTCTAACCGCTGAGCCAAACTGGCCAGGGCTCCCTTACTTTTTAATAGTAACCCCAACCTTTGTCTTTTACAAAACCCTTCTTTAATTATCCACTGCAGTGAGTGCAAACTTCTCCTTAAACCCTAGGTAGTAAATCTTTTCAGTTTTGCAGACCATACACTCTCTGCCCCAACAACTCAGGTCTGCTTTATAGTACAAAATAGACATTGTGTAAATGAATGGATGTGCCTTTGTGCCAATAAAACTTTATTTACAGAACAGGTGGTGGGCTGAATTCGGCCCTTGGGCTTTAAGTTGCTGACCCCTGACCTGTGAGACAGACCCTCCTCTGCCTTGGTCTCATGGGGGGTAGACAGATAACTAGGCATGGAGTATATAGAGTTTCAGGCTGTGATGGGGGTGATCAAAGAGGCCTCCCTCAGAGGAGGGGGCATGAAGCTGGGACCTGAAGGATAAGGGGGAATTGGGCAAGCAAATGGGGAAGAATGTTCCTGGCCAAGGGGAGGGTCTGTGCAAAAGCCTGGAGGCATGAGAAGGGATGGTGAGTTGGGGTCTCCAGAAAGCCTCCTGCCTTGTCCCCACTCCCCACCTCCACCTGCGCCCCCACAGGCACCTTCAAGATCCAGAAGACACGGCTGCAGCACGAAGGCTTTGACCCATGCCAGACCTCGGACCGGCTCTTCTTCCTGGACCTGAAGCAGGGACACTACCTGCCCCTGGACCAGGGTGTCTACAGCCAAATCTGCTCGGGCTCCTTCTCCCTTTGAAGCTCCTCTGCTGGCCAGAGACTCCTGGCCAGTCCTCTCAAGCGAGGTGGGCTAGAGCCAGACAGCTCTGCCCTGTCCTGGGGCTGAGAAGCTGGACCCCAGGAGGATCCCAAGTCTCTTCCCCTGCCCTCATTCTCCTCTGCCTGGTCCCTTGAACTGTCTCCTTGTCCCTCTCTGCCTGTCCTCTGCTCCTGTGTCTGTGTTTATCGCTCCTCTCTGCTACCTGGCCTTGGCCTCCCTGCGGTCCCCATCTGCCCTTACCCTTTCCCTCTTTTTCTCCATCTCTCCATTCTCTTCTCCTCTGTTCTTCTGCAAAGTTTGGAGCAGACATTTCCTGGGACCTTCAGTTTGCTTGGGACCTGTGGTTTGCTTGGGGCCTCATCTGTCATCACCATTGGGTCTTAGATCCACAGTGGGACCTTCCCACTTCCCTCTCAGCTGTGCCTTAAGGAGCCCCACACAGTCCAGTCCTCCTGAGGCTGCTGGGTTCCAGGATATTGTAGCCCTGTGTGAAATCCAGGCAGGCCCTCTGCCCTCCTTGCCAAATGGAGGAGTCAGTGATCTGCCTTCCCCACCAGGGGGCATCAGCCAGGGACCCCCAGGTCGGCTGGAAATCGCTCCTAGATCGGGCCACTTCCCATCCATGGTGGGTCTCCCCTGCCTTGCCTGCCTTTCCTGATGCCCTGGAAGCTTCCAGTATTGACTGTGATCATTTGGATATTGCCCCTACCCATATGTCCCTGTTCAGTCATCTCCATTGAGCTCCTGCGGGAGGGACCTTGAAGACTGTGCTGGGTAGCTGCTTGGCCCACCACTCAGATGCCTCTTGGGTGTCCCCATCAAGTGTAGCTGCTGTGGGGCCCATGGGAATGGCAGCAGTGGGGTGGGAGGAGGTCTGCCACTGGTGGCATCTTAGATGGCCTCAGGGATTCCAGTTGAATATTTCCACTGGCCTTGCTAGTGACAGCCTGGACCCTGTGTTGGTGGTGACATCCTAGATAATCCAGCTGGGATGGCATGGATATCTGCATTGCCTTCCTTGGTGGCAACTCCTGTTGTTGGGGCTGGCCACTCTGCCTGTCAATTCCTCCGGCAGCACCATCCAGCTCCTAGAACAAAAAACAGTAGCGAGTGACCCTGCATTATTTTGCATGGGCCTTTCTAAGCACCAAGGTTTTGTTTCCTAGTTGAATTTAAGAAATAAACCTGCAGAATATCTGGTGTCTGATGGGAGCCCAGTCATTCACTGTCCCCATGTGGCATAGAAACCTTTCTGAGTCTCAGAAGGCAGGATCCTCACTGGGGATCATGCTCCACCAGACACAAGCAAGGCAAACTTGGCCTTTTCTTGTTGTCCTCTGTTGCCTGTTCTTACACCTGCAAGGCCTCTGGGAAGAGGGGCCTTGCTGCTTCCCTGTAGCCTCAAAAGCCCTGTACTGGCCTCAGTGTGGTCCTAGGGGAGGGTCAGCCAATCTGCCTGTGGGTCCCATCAGCTGCACAGGATGGCCCAGAACAGAGGGTGTGTCTTGGCACATCTTGCTGCCCCAGGAAGGGGGTGCTCTTCTGTGTATGGGGCCAGCAGGTATGGCTGTAGCTCTGGGTGAGAACTGCTGAGCCTGTTGTTCTGGGTGACTGAGCTGGAATTTTAACCCAGGACATCGAGCTCCAGAGTCTAAACTCTCAACTTTTACCTTCTGCTGTATCTCCCCCCCCCCCCCCCTTAGAATTAGTGTCTGTCTCATCTTGTCTCCACTTCAGAGGACAGAGGAAGAAATGTTTGTGGTGATGGAGCATTGACTGGGAGGGGGCACTGAGGGGGTGACACTGGGGTGTGTGTCAAGGAATGGACAAGGCCTTGGCTGAGTCAAGGCTAGATGAACCATCAGTGTGTTCATCATGTGGGGCAGGTCCTTGGATGCCCACAGTATGTAAGGAGAAGGGGGCAAGGTAGAACCCTCCAAGATGCCCAGTGAGAGTGGGAGAAGGGTCTGCTGTCAATGGGCATGGGGCGCCCCTGGTGCATTCTGGATAACATCTTTTGAATGTTAACCACCTCCATAAGTGTCATCATGGTCCTCCTTGTACAGATGGGAAACTGAGGGGAATGAAGTCATTGCCAGGGGCCCCTGTCAAGAAACTGGCCTGGTAGGGACCTTGGAGAGTTTCTAAAACCTGTCACTCCAGCTGCAAAGACCTAAGTTCTCTTCGAGATGGCAGTAAAAAATCCTGATGACATTTAGGATCTTTTTTTTTTTTTTAAATTCATAGACTTTATTTGAGTAGTTTTTTGTTTACAGACAAATGAGGGGAAAGCACAGAGTTCCTACCTACCCTCTCACCATTATTAACATCTTGCATTAGTGCTACATTTGTTACAATTGATGAGCCAACACTGACTCATTAACACAAGCCTGGAGTTTAAATTAGGGTTCACTCTGTGTTGTATGTTCTATTTCAACAAATACATAATGATATGCATCCACTGTTACAGTACATAAAGAATAATTTCTTACCCCTAAGCATTCTCTGCTCCATCTCTTCATCCCTTCCACCCCATTCTAAAGCACTGAGATATGTATGTGTGTGTGTGTGTGTGTGTGTGTGTGTGTGTATTCTTTTTTGGCTTTTTGAGTATGTGCCCTTAGTGGAAACCAAACCCGGTTCTCTGGTCCACAGGCCAATGCTCTTAACTGCTGAGCCAAACCGGCCAGGGCACCACTGATATTTTTTGTTTCAATAGTTTTGCCTTTACCAGAATGTCAGGCACTTGGAATCACAGAACGTGTAGCCTTTTCAGATCAGCTTCTTTCACTTGGCAAGATGCACTTAAGATTCTTCCATGGCTGGAGAGCTCTGCATTTTATGCCAAATGAAAAGATCTATTATTCTAGTTGTGCCAGTCTGGGGGCTCCTGCAGGCATGAGCCAGGGTGGAGGCCTCTGGGTCCTCAGAGAGTCAGAGGTCCCCAGGGAGCATATGCAGAAGGAATTCAACAAGTATGTTTTCAGCTTCTACTTTGTGCTAGGCGTAATTCAGGGGACTTTTGAAGCATCGATGAACACACAAAAAAATCCTGCCCTAATGGAAAAAATATATACTACACACACACATACACATTTTAAAAGTCTCAACCGGGGATGTTTTTTCCATTGATTCTTACATAGTGTGGAAGGAAGGGACAGAGGGAGACACAAAGAGAGACAGAGACAGAGAAACATTGACTGGTTGCCTCCCCCACCCCCAATGAGGGATGAACCTACAACACAGGTACATGCCCTTGATGGGGAACCAAACCCGCAGGCCATCACTCTAACCACAGAGGCCAGGCCGGAGCTTTTACATATATATGTATGTATATATGTGATATATCTATATATCTCTCTATACACCTATATATTTTTTAATCCTCACCTGAGGACATTTTTCTATTTGTCTTCAGTTAGAGTGGGAGGGAGAGAGAGACACATCCACTGGTTACCTCTGGCATGACCCCGACCAGGAACTAACTGGAACCGGGATACCTGCCCTTGACCAGACTCGAACCCCGATTCATTGGTCCCCGGGCTGCCTCTCTAACCACGGAGCCAAACCGGCCGGAGCTTATATTTTTTCTTAATTTTTTTTCCGGAGCTAATATTTTAAAGAAACAACTAGCAACAAGACAAATACATTAAAAGGTTCAGGAACTTCAAAGTCCACCAAAATGCACCCTCCAAGAAATCTCATAACTCCTTCCTCTACTCCATCCCACGTCCCCCTCTTGGGGTTCCCCAGTTCTGGGCTCCTCCTCCTGGCCTCACCCTAACAGTATGAGGTTGGGAGCAATTGCGCCGGCCCTGCCAGCCCCATCCTAGAACAGAACTTAGGTGCAGCGTGCAGAACAATCAAGGAGCGCGGAGGATCCTACTGCTCCGCCCTGCCTGGGCTTCACTTGCGGGGCTGCGCATGTGCCACAGCGGCCGCCCAGAGGTACTGAGCCCTGGGTGGCTGCCTGGCCGGTGCGCAGGCGTCCTGGACGCTGCCTGGAGCGCTTCCGCCTCCCGCCGTCGCGATGGCCGTGTCGGCCCCGGACCTCATCTCGGTCTTTTCAAGCCCGCAGGAGCTCGGCGCATCGCTGGCGCAGTTGGTGGCACAGCGGGCCGCGTGCTGCCTGGCGGGGGCCCGTGCCCGCTTTGCGCTCGGTCTGTCTGGCGGCAGCCTCGTTTCGATGCTGGCCCGCGAGCTGCCCGCCGCCATCGCCCCCGCCGGGCTAGCTGGCCTCACGCACTGGACGCTGGGCTTCTGCGACGAGCGCCTGGTGCCCTTCGAGCACGCTGAGAGCACGTACGGTCTCTACCGGGTGAGAACTACGGGGGCCGTCGGGGGCCACGCCGAGAGGGCCGGCCGCCTGAGCGCGGCTGCGAGGACCGTCTGGGATCACACTGTGCCCTCAGCCTCTTACTGCATGGGAGCTGGGAGTGGTCGGCCTAGTGCCCTGAGGTACCAACTGGGCTGCACCTGCACTGCCACTCGGATAGGCCGGTAGGGGCTTCGAAGCCCCTCTTCATGCCTTATCAGGCAGTCAGGCAGAGGGAGTGGAACCGCCTGGACAAAGGCGCGCAGTGAAGCAGAGTGGCCCAAGCCAGGGACTTCGGGAAGTTCCGGCGCCGCATCCTCGTGCGAGCGCAAGGTTACGGAAAGAGCCAGACGGGAGCTTCTGACGCGGAGCCTGGCTTCAGTTTCCTCACTACAGCCTGGACCAATTCTCCATGGTCTCTCCGCAGCTTGTGCGTTAATGGCCTCCGAGGCGGATTGTCTTTGGACCTGGGCCCCAGCGTTTTACAAGCAGGGAAACTAAGGCTCGGAGGAGCCGAGGTCTGCCCTGGGTGTCCCAGCCTCGTCTGTGTCCACTCCTGCGCTGCAGGAGGAAAACCTGCCCAGGGAGGTGTGGGAAGGATGGGCTTGACCAGGAGAGGAGCCTCAGGTCACTTGGGTCCTGGTTGTGTTGCTTTTTTTTTTTTTTTTTTTAAATCCTCACCCGAGGACATTTTTCCATTTTTTGTTCAGGTAGAGTGGGAGGGAGGGAGAGAGAAACATCGACGTGAAAGGGACACATCGAGTGGCTGCCACCTGCATGAGCCAACCAGGGCCGGGGACAAACCAACCGAGGTACCTGCCCTTAGCAGGAACCGAACCCGGGTCTCTCAGGACCACAGGCCGACACTCTAACCGCTGAGCCAAACCGGCCAGGGTGTGTTGCATTCTTTACGTATAGATGCTTGAGCTGATGATTTTCCTTTTTTTTTTTTTTTTTTAATAAGGAAGGTTTACAGATTACCAAGTGCTTGATCCACATATCTCATGAAAGCCCACAATAACCTATGAGGCAGGGGCTTCATAGATGGAGAAACAGGCCTGAAGAAGGGCACTTACCTGCCTGAGTCACCAGTGACCAGTGGGGGAACTGGGATTTCAACCTGCCCAGCCTGGTCCCCCAGTGTATAGTTTGTGTGTAGGCTGGAGTGGGAAGGTCAGCAGGGCCTCATGGAGGGTACAAAGGGCTGGGTTTTATCCCAAGTGCCAAGGAACCATGGGGGCTTTGAAACAGGGTTGTGGTGTGGCCAGACAGATGAAAGCCAGGGACCAGATATCCCCAGTCTTAATGGACTTGAAAGACCCATGGTGGATCGACACTGGGACCCACCAGGATCCTGATTCACACAGGCCTGGATGATCCATGTGGGCACACATACAAGCCCGTAATGCTTCGACCTGTGCATTACTGTTGGTGACACTGTCTGTCCATATGCCACAGACCCACCTGCTCTCCAAGCTGCCCATCCCTGACAGCCAGGTGATCACCATTAACCCCCAGCTTCCTGTGGAGGAGGCAGCAGAGGACTACGCCAAGAAACTGAGAAAGGTGAGTCCCTCAGAGCAGCCACAGGGAGACTTTTCCACACGATGGCTACTCCCAGGGCAACAGAGCAGTTTTGCAGGTAGCACTGTGTGATTGTCATTGGCAGAAACTCCCCTGGGGTCGGCAGACCTCGTCCCACCCTGGGTGGATCCCTTTGAGAATTATTCTTTGAGAGGCCATAGCCCTGCCAGGGTCCCCAATGGTGCCCTCACCCCTGACACCCTGATAGCTGGCCTGGGTTCTCACATCTTGGAGACAGTTGTGTCCCCAGACTCTTGGCCAGTTGGGCAGGTAAAATGTAGAACCTCATAGATTAGAGTCCCTTTTATGCAGGTGAGGCTAAGCATTACTCCCCGTGTTATATATAGCTTCTTGTGATTCTTTTTCTGACAATTGTGTCTGTGTCCTTCGAGCCCCTCCCTCACAACCTCTGTGAACTGTCTTCTTCCCCTGCCCAGGCCTTTCAAGGGGACTCCATCCCAGTTTTTGACCTGCTGATCCTGGGGGTGGGCCCCGATGGCCATACGTGCTCACTCTTCCCAGACCATCCCCTCTTACAGGTGAGTTCATTCACAAATGTCCCATTTGCACCTGAGCTCTGGCCTCTGCTGTCTGGGGCTTCCAGAGGGAGGCCAGGAGGTACCTACAGCAGAGGTTGAGTCAGCTTCCACCAGCAGGCATGCCCACTGGGCTTAATTCTTCAGAGCCTCAGTTTACCCATCTTATAATGGGGGTCCTTAAATCAAGCACCACAGGATTAGTAGAATGGGATGGTATAATGGATGAATTATGCCTGATATGTGTGAGTGCTTGAGAAGTTGAAGTGACACTGTCCTCCTGTCTTCACCTGGGCCCCTCTCTCCCAGGAACGGGAGAAGATTGTTGCTCCCATTAGTGACTCCCCAAAGCCACCTCCACAGCGTGTGACCCTCACACTTCCTGTATTGAATGCGGCCCGAAATGTCATATTTGTGGCAACTGGAGAAGGCAAGGCAGCTGTTTTGAAGGTAAAGCTGGGGCCCCATTCCCGAAAGGTTAGGGCATGTGAGCCTGGGGATAGAATATGACCCCAGGTGCTGTTGTACTGGAAGCACCATATCTCAAGATACTTCAGTGATTCTTGGGTTGAAGGGGAGATGGAAACTGCCATTACAGGCTGGTTAGGAATGAATAATTACAAAGTGAAATTGATGAGATGAGGCCAAAGCTGTAATCAGAGGTAAATTCATAGCATTAAAAAAAAATGTCCTCCTTTCACCTCCCTTGTTTTAATTCTCACCAGAGGATACTTTTCCACTGATTTTTAGATAGAGTGGAAGGAAGGGAAGGAGAGAGAGAGAGAAACATCAATGTGAGAGAGACACATTGACTGGTTACCTCATACAACCCCAGGGCTGGGGATCGATCTGCAACCCAGGTACGTGTCCCCAATCAGAATCGAACCTGCAACCTCTTGGTCTGCCAGTGGATGCTCCAACCACTGAGCCAAACTGGCCAGGGCTTAAAATGCATTTTTAAAATATTAAATAGAAAATTATTGAATAAGCAAATCAAGCACTTACTCTTGAATTTGAAAAATGAACAATACTATAAATCTAAGTAAAGTCAGCAGAAGGAATAAATGAAATCAAAGTCAGAAATTAATGAATTGGTTAATATTTTTTAAAGTTTAATGATAAAGAGGTCCAAAAGATAGACAAACCCCTAGCAAAGCTAATCAAGAAGGAAAAAATCATATGCAGGAATAAGTAAGAAACTAGGAATAAGAAAGAAGGTATAGTTATACATACTATTTTAAGAAAACATAAACTAAATTAAGATATTAAACTAAATGAGAAAATATTTTAATTGCCATAATTGAAAAGACCAATAACAATAGGACAAACTGGAAATATTTTAAAATATAAATAAATAATAATCCTTTCCCCCAAACTCTTGGGCCCAGGTGTCCTCACAGGGTATCTAATATTGGGGTTTGGGGTACAGACTCTAAAAAGTGCAGCAGACACATGTCCCTTCCAGTGGTGCCCACCATGGCCTCAGATAGCCACTCCCACCCCCAGACTCAACTTTCCCATCTATAAGGTGGGTCATGAGGGGGCCCCTCCCCATGGACCCCCTGAGAGAGGCCTCCTGGAGCCTTAGCTTTCCAGACTGTAAAATTGGGTGAGAACAACCCTGTCTGGTTTCGCTCAGCGGTTAGAGTGTCAGCCCGTGGACCAAAGAGTTGTGGGTTCGATTCTGGTCAAGGGCATGCACCTTGGTTGCAGTTCAGTCCCGGCCTGGGTTGGGGTAGTTCAGGAAACAGCCAGTCGATGTGTCTCTTTCGCATTGATGTTTCTTTGTCTCTCTCTCACTCACTCTCTCACCTTCTCTCCTCCTCCCTCCCTCCTTCCCACTCTGTCTGAAAAAAATGGAGTGACAACAGAGGCAACTTCATAGGGTTGTGATCAGAAGCCAGTGAGTTATAAGCACAGAGTTCTTGGGGCAGGCCCAGCTGGCAAAAGGCAGTACTTATAATGCCCACTCACCATGAGGTCACATCAGGGGTTAACACACCACAGCCCGTGGGCCAAATCCCACCAGCCATGAGGGTTTTTACCTTTTTAAGTGGTTGGGGGGAAAGAAATCAAAAGAAGAATATTCCTGGACAGGTGAAAATTCAATAGAATTCAGATTTCAGTGTTTACCAATAAAGATTTGTTGGAACACACACACCCATAAGTCGATGTGAGCCGAAATAGTGACTCTGGTCTTTGCAGAAAAGGTGTGCCAACCCTATATTATACAGTCACAGATAATAGAAGGGAAAGGACCTGTCACTGCTGACTGTTATAAGCTGGGACAGCTGGAAGGGTGACATAGAGTAGGAGAGTCTAGTCCGGGGGCGGGGATCTGAGAGCTCTAAGGGGCGCCAGGGGTGCAGCGGGGCCTCACAAACGTGTTTTCTCATGCAGCGCATTTTGGAGAACAAGGAGGACAGCCTGCTTCCTGCCGCCCTTGTCCAACCCCACACTGGGAAACTCTGCTGGTTCCTGGATGAGGCAGCAGCGGGACTCCTGACTGTACCCTTCGAGAAGCATTCCACTTTGTAGCTGATCCCTACGGATGCCACAGTTGAGACCATATTTGGCTTGAGGGGGCTGGGACTTTCTAGGGCTGGGCCCCTCCATTCCCATGCTCTAGGCTTCACTTTAGAAAAGCCACATGGTGCTGACAGGGCCTGTCCACCAGCCCTACCCAGATATTAAAAGGAGCATTTGCTCCAAATCTCCACTGTCTTGTGGTCTTTGGTGGGCAGTGGGACAAAGGGCTCACAGGCTGACTTGAAGCCCTTGTCCCAGCAGGTGGAGGATAGGGATGGGTACCCTCAATCAGTTTTCCCAGGGCTGTGTAGCAAAGTACCACAGAATTGATTGACTCAGTCCTGTAGGCCAGAAGTGTGAAATCAAGGTGGTGCCAGGGTTGGTTCCTTCTGGAGGCTCTGAGGGAGAGTCTGTCCCAGGCCCCCTCTCCTGGCTTCTGGGGGCTGCCAACAACCCCTGGCTTGTGATACCATCACTCCATTCTCTGCCTTTGTCATCACATGGCCTTCTCATGTGAGTGTCTCTCTGTGTTCTCTTCTGACATTGGATAGGGCCACCGTAAATCCAAGGTGAACTCATCTCAAGATCCTTAGCTAATTACATCTGCACAGACCCTTATTTCATATTAGTATGTGTGTGTGTGGTGTAAAGTACACAACATAAAGTTCACCATCTCAACCATTTTCACGTGTGTAGTTCAGTGGCATTAAGTACATCCACACTGTTGTACAACCATCCCCACCATCACCCAAAACTTTCCATCTTCCCAATCTGAAACTCTGTCCCTATTAAACAGTAACTTCCCAACCCCCTCCCCTAGGCCACCATCCATTCTAATTCTGTCTCTGAATTTGACTGTTTTAGGGACCTCATATAAATGGGATCATACAGTATTTGTCCTTTTGTGTCGGGCTTCTTTTACTCAGCATAATGTCCTCAGATTCATCCATGCTGTCACATGTGTCACAGTTTCTTTCCTTTTTATGGCTCAATAATATCCCACTGTGTGGATGGACCACATTTTGCTTCTCCATTCATCTGTCTGGACACTTGGGTTGCTTCCATGGTTTAGCTCTTGTGAATAAAGCTTCTATAGACATTGATGTACAAATATCTCTTTGAGACTGATTTCAATTTTTATGGGGATAGACCCAGAAGTGGAAATGATGGGTCATATGGTAATTCTGTTTTTAATATTTTGAGAAACCTCCATACTATTTTCCACAGCAGGTGTACCATTTTACATTCCCAATTTCTTTGTATCATCGCCGACACTTGTTATTTTCTGTGTTTTTTGATAGTGACCTGTGGATATATCTTTCTGGGGGACACAATTCAACCCACTATACACTCTGGCCAAGTTCCCACTGCACACACAGATCCAGTCTTGAATTCTGCATCTGCCCCTGCCGCAGGCCTGTTCAAAGCCTTGAGTGTGCCAATGTGCCTCTTTAGTCTCAGCTGTGCGGGGGCTGCAGCATTTTCATCTGTTGGACCCACCCAGCTTCTCTGGCTCAGTGGGGAAGGCTAGTGGGGACAGAGTATGGGGGTCTGGGGGTGTCCTGTAGGGGCACCTGAAGAGGACATGGGAACTGAAACCTCAAAACTGAAACCACAGAAAGAAGTTTCCTTCAACGTCTTGAAGTGAGAGTGAGGAAGTGGGCTAGGGTCCGGGCGGAAGGAAATTGGTTAAGAAAGCAGAGGAAGGAGCTGAAAGGAAGGCTGCCCGGCCCTGGGCTTGAGCAAGAGCAGGTGGACGTGACCCCTGGCACTAGTCCAGGGCAGGGGTTGCCAGAGCAGAAGGAAAATGATGACACAGGCACAGGGAACCCACAAGGTGGGGCCCTTCCTGAAGCATGTCACCTGTGCCCCTTGCCCCATGACAGCAGTTGTCCCTGCACCAGATCTGCCTGTGGCTCCCTTTCACCTTGAGTGAAACCTACCCTTCCTATTGGCCCATAAGTCCCTCTGTGGCCCCTGCAACCCCCATCCTCCTCTTCTAACATCTGCCCCTCACTCACCCTTCTCCATCCCCACTTTGTGCTGTTCCCACCTAGGGCTTTGTGAGTGTTGTGCCCCCTGCCACCTTTCTTTCCTCCAGCTTTTTGCACGGTTTGGGCCCTCACTTCCTTCAGGTTTTGGTGCAGCATCTCCTCCCTGACTCCTTCTTGCCCTTAGCACTTTGTAACCCCCTCCTATTCCATTTTTCTCCCTTACCCTTATCATTATCTGACAGTTTTGTTGGCATGCCTGTGACGGTCCATGGAGGCTGGGGCAGCTGCAGGGAACTTAGTGGGGCTGGGGGTGGTCATTGAGAAATGAGATGGGGGAGGGCTCTGCAGGGCCTCAGATTTCCCCCCAGGGTATGAGGACCTGTGGGAGGTGCTAGAGGTCAGGGTTGAGAATTTGGGATGTGCTGGAGGTGGGGGGCTGGTGCCTGGGAGTAAGGGTACCTTCAAGAGTCACTTAAAGAAGGAAATGAAGCCTGGCCAGTGTGGCCCAATGGATCGAGCGACATCCCATAGACTGAGAGGTCCTGGTTCAAATCCTGGTCAGGGCACATGCCCATGTTGTGGGCTCGATCCCCAGTAGGGGGCATGCAGGAGGCAACCAATGGATGTTTCTCACGTTGATGTTTCTCTCTCTCCCTTCCTCTCTCTCTAAAAAATAGTAACATTTAGAAAAAAAATAAGAATGAAATAGAGATGAGGTGATTGCTTGGTGGGGCTGAGGAGGGTGCTGGCGGGGGGAGGAAGGAGACAGTGGCTCCCTTAAATCTCCCTCTCCCACTGGGTCCCCATGTCCCTCCTCATCTGGGAGCCTAGCACTTGCTCCCTCAGTCCCAATACGAACCCCAGGGACTGGGGGTGTCTGTCCAGCTCTGTCTCCCTAACTTGGGGACTCCTGGGGGCTAAGCCAGGGCTGAATCCCCTTGCATTGCCCTGCATGGGGCAGGCACAGTGTGGGTGGGCACCAGGTGGGGGGTAGACACCCCATCCCTGCCCTGCACACCAACAACTGGTTGCCTGGTCCTGCCAGATATCTGCCTTGCATCCTTCCTCCAAAGCCAGCCAGAAATTTTGCCTCCCACCCCTGCACCCACTCTTGGAACTCCTGGGGAAGCCCCTACAGAAACCAGCATCTCTGGGGTCCTTGGCCCAAGGGGAGTTGGGAGGATGCAGGTGCAGGGTGGGTGGGGCAGGGGGCGGGTACCCTCACTTCCCCAACACACACATTGAGGGGCCATGCTCTGGCTTCTGACCCCAGGCACTGGTTGCCCTGTTCCCAGAGAACCCCTGACCTGAGGAACCTGGGAAGCTGTTGGGTGGAGAGGGGTGTCTGCTTCACTCTAGGGGATCTTGGGACATAGCAGCAGGATGGGTGGGCGGCCCTCAAGCCCCCTGGACAAGAAGCAGCAGCAGCACCTGAGGGGTGAGTGGGGTGGGGAATGGTGAGTGAGGGTGGGGAGAGGATGGGGTTTCAGGGTTGTCAGATACATGGGATACCCTATTAATGTGAATTCTAGATAAGCAATAAATAATTTTTTAAGTATAAGTATGTCCTAAATTTTGTATGAGGGTATAGTTATGCAAAAAAATTAATTATTTATTTACCTGAAATTCAAATTTAACTCATGTCATGTACTTTTATTTGGTAAATGTGGTAACCCAGTTGAGGGCATGGGTTTGGGGTAGGGGACATGGGCCAGGTGGGAAGTGCCCTGGCTTAGTCAGATCTTGGGGGATCATTCTTCCAAGTAGGCAGAGATCAATAGGATGATCCCTCTGTGTAGATCCTGGGGACTGAGTCACAGTTCTGATTTGAGACAAAGAATGGCCAGTGCCCTCCATCCTGCATGCACATGATTGAGTATTTGCTGTGTGCTGGGCACTGGGGATACGATGGACTCATGATCTAGATCAGGACAGAGGTCTAGTTATCATTACATGAATGGATTCAATAAACTATTCTACAAGTGTCAGTTGTTTTTTCTGTAGTGGCTTAAGGAAAGATTTCTCTCTCCTATAGGGGTGGATACAGTGGTAGGTAGGCTGATAAAAGTTAGATAACCCAACTTTTTCCATCTCATGGTTCTACCATGCATGGCTTCTGTGCCTGAGATCACCTCATGGCACATAAAGGCTGCTGAAACTCCAGCCATTGGGTCTACATTCCAGGCAAAGCGATGGACTGTATGTTTTACATACAATCAGGTGAGTTCATCTTAGGGGAACAGCTTGAAGAACTTTAACATCTGGTGATCATTTGTAGATCTTGGGGGATCTACACAGAGGGATCTGTTGATCCCTGCCTACTTGGAAGAATGATCTCCCGAGATCTGACTAGGATCTTAGATCAGGATACAGAATACTTCCATCACTCTAGAAAGTTCCTCAGTGGCCCTGGCCGGTTTGGCTCAGTGGTTGGAGCATCAGCCTGGACCAGAGAGTCCTGGGTTCGGTTCCCACTAAGGGCACGTACCAAAATAAATAAATAAATAAATAAATAAATAAATAAATAAATAAATAAATAAATAAAAAAGAAAGTTTCTCTGTGCTGGGATGATGCTTTTAAAATATTTTGAAAATTTCTCTAGGTAAGGGGTGTAAAAAAACTTTCAGGTGCAATGGAAGTGTTCATTATCTTTTTGTTGATGTTGTTGTTAATCCTCACCCAAGGATATTTTTCATTGATTTTTATTTAAAAACATTTTTTTTCTTTATTGATTTTAGAGAGAGAAGAAGGGAGAGAGAGATAGAAACATCAATGAGAGAGAACATCAATTGGCTGCCTCCTTCATGCCCCCTGCTGGGGATCAGGCCCACAACCTGGGAGTGTGCCCTGACTGAGAATCGAACCTGCGACCTCTTGGTGTATGGATCGATGCTCAACCACTGAGCCACACCGGCGGGGCTCCATTGATTTTTAGATGGAGTGGAATGGAGATAGGGAGAGAGAGAGAGAGGGAGGGAAAGAGAGAGAAACATTGGTGTGAGAGACACATCAATTGATTGCCTCCTGCATGACCCCAAACGAGGCCAGGGATTGAACCTGCAACCCAGGTAGGTGCCCTTGACCTGGAATTGAACCCATAACCCTTAGGTCTGTGGACTGGTGCTCTAACCGCTGAGCCAAACCAGCTGGGGCCGAACTGTTCATTATCTTGATTGTGGTTTCTGGATGTGGACATGCATGAAAGCTCATTAAATTCTATGCTTTATACAATTTTTTAATTAATTAATTATTTATTTATTTATCCTCACCCAAGGACATTTTTGCATTTATCTTCAGATAGAGTGGGAGGGAGAGAGGGGGAAGGGAGAGAGAAATGTCGATGTCAGAGAGACACATCAACTGGTTGCCACCCACACGACCCCATTGGGGCAGGGGACAAACTGCAACCAAGGTACGTGCCCTTAGCGGGAACCAAACCTGGACTCTCTGGTCCGTGGGCCAATGCTCTAACTGCTGAGCCAAACCAGCCAGGGCTATGCTTTATACAATTAAAGTTTGTTGTGCATCAGTTAGAAATTAAGCCAGAGTCCTTTAACTACCCTCTAGCCCTTGTGGATGGAAACAGACAGCAGAGGGTTAAGGTTGAATGGAATTTGGAACATATCTTGTGGGGTAGCTTTGGGGTCTGGGGTGAGGGTAGAAGCCCACTAATTTCTTTCATCCTGTTCTGCCTTCCCCTTGTAGGTGGCCTGATTCAGCCACCTCACTGTTCCCTTGTCCCTGCAGGCCAGGTGGATGCCCTGCTGAAGAACTTCCTGCCCCAATACCGTTTGCAGCTGGCAGCCTCTGTCCTGCAGCAGATTTCTCAGGAGCTCATCCCCCAGGAGCTGGCTGGATGCCAACTGCTTCACAGCAAAGTGGGTGCCACAAACAAGGGTGGAGGGCTGCTGAGTGAGTGAGACTGTGGAGGTTGTTGGTTCAGTGAGGAGGGGCCCTTCTCACACCATAGTCCTTGCTGGTGCCCCGCTCTAGGGTGGCTATAACATTCACTGGTATGTCCTGGGCTGGATGCTGGGGACACAGCAGAGACCAAGACATATCCCCCTCTGCCTTCTGGGGCTCAGTTTGATTGGGGAAAATG